CTGCTCCAAAAAAAAAAAAACGAAAAAGGTAAAAAAAAAAAAGGGAAAGAGAATGCAGAGAGAGTTTAGGGAGATCTTCTCCTCCCCACACCCCACATGACACTCTCGCCATGCATACCAGCGTTCCCTACCAACTGCGATCATGCCCAAATCGCTGCTCCCACAAAAAAAACGAAAAAGGTAAAAAAAAAAAGGGAAAGAGAATGGGGAGAGAGATTAGGGAGATCTTCTCGTCCCCCCACCCCACATGACACTCTCGCCGTGCATAACAGCGTTCCCCCCCCAACTTCGATCATGCCCAAATCGCTGCTCCCAAAAAAAAAAAACCAAAAAAGGTAAAAAAAAAAAAGGGAAAGAGAATGGGGAGAGAGATTAGGGGGATCTTCTCCTCCCCCACCCCACATGACACTCTCGCCGTGCATACCAGCGTTCCCTACCAACTGCAATCACACCCCAAATCGCTGCTCCCAAAAAAAAAAAAACCGAAGAAGGTAAAAAAAAAAAAGGGAAAGAGAATGGGGAGAGAGATTAGGGAGATCTTCTCCTCCCCCCACCCCACATCACACTCTCGCCGTGCATACCAGCGTTCCCTACCAACTGCGATCACACCCCAAATCGCTGCTCCCAAAAAAAAAAAACGAAAAAGGTAAAAAAAAAAAGGGGGAAAGAGAATGGGGAGAGATTAGGGAGAGAGATTAGGGAGATCTTCTCCTCCCCCCACCCCACATCACACTCTCGCCGTGCATACCAGCATTCCCCACCAACTGCCATCACACCCCAAATCGCTGCTCCCAAAAAAAAAAACCGAAAAGGTAAAAAAAAAAAGGGAAAGAGAATGGGGGAGAGAGGACATACCTTTGCGAGTCATCGTGGATTGCTCTCCTGCTCGTTCTTAGCTTCTCAATTGCTCTCCTTTCCTGTATCCTCCTCTCATCTATTCGCCAAGCATCTACTCCTCTATTCTCTCTTGACATCCGCCCATGAAAGCAAGCACACTACAGAAGACATGTGAAGCACAACCTGCGTTGTGCAGGTTTGAAGTTGGAAGGAGGTGAAGAGGAAGCATCGTCGAAATTCACGACGGCGTCGACGAAGTAGAGGCCCGTGACTACTGAAAGACGCCGGCACCCAACCAAAACGAGGCCAGTACCAAGGCCCCAAGAGGCCGGTACCAAACCAAAAAAAAAAAAGGCCTGTACCAGGGCAGAAGAGGCCGGTACCAACCCTGAAAGAGGAAGGTACCAAAAAAAAAAAAGAGGCAGGCCGGCACAAACGAAACCAACGCCAGTACCTACGAAAAAGAGGCCGGCACTTTTTTCATTATGCTCTTCTCACGGGCCCAACGACACATTCGCGACATTGCTGCTGCGTCATTCCTATGCGACATTGCTGCTGCGTCATTCCTATGCGACATTGCTGCTGCGTCATTCCTATGCGACCTCCGTTTGCCTGCGCCTGCCTCCGCCTGCCTCCGCCTGCCTCCGCCTGCCTCCGCCGGCCTCCTCCTGCCTCCGCCTGCCTCCGCCTGCCTCCGCCTGCATTCGCCTGGCTGCGCCCGCCTCCGCCGGCCTCCCCCGCCCTCCGTCTACGACCGGCCATCGCCACAAGGTACTCTCTCTCTCT